CAAAAAAGAAAGCAATACATTTTTGATTTTCATTTATCAATTGATTTATTAATTATTATTATAAAACTTTATGAATGTTTCCCTTTATTGTTTCTTAAAAAATTATACTCTGAGAATTATAGTGCTCATTTTAGAGCGCAATTGGCTAATTTCTTTTTAACTAACCACAATCTTTCTATTGCACAAATGAATTTTAAAAAATCCTATAGTAATGTCAATCAATGTTATAAAATAGAGCAAATAAGGAAATGGGGGACTGTATGTTTAAAAATATACCCTACTTTTTTCTTGTTCTAAATATTTTTTTCATTAATCAGTTCGAATAATTTGTTTTCAAAATATGTGCATTCAAATATAAATTAAATATATTTTGATTATGATTGTAAATGATAAAAAGATAATGCTGCACACACACATCTATTTGAATATTGTATTCCTATTTAATGTTAACATAGATTAAAGAAATTTTGTTTGAACTGATTTTCTTTCTTTCCTTTAGCTCAGTATCAAGTATAAAAATACTCATTGTAATAACTTTCTTATATTTATGAATAAAATAAATCATGGAAACCTCAAAATGAAGTATTATTTTAGAGTGAAAGTGATCTAGAAAAGAAATAACTTTTAATCTTAATTTTGCGTAAGATTCATTTAAGCAGCCATTTTTCTTGAAACTCTATTCCTTTCCTTATTTAAGAAATTTATTTCTTTGCAGGTTCTAATCTTCATTCCTTTTGTAAAATTAAGATTAATATCTACATCTGCTTTCGCTTTTCCATTCATGGCTTTCAAATGTACATTATGAAACAATGCATACGACTTACTGGGTCAAATAATATGCTGCAGAACTTCTGAAAGTATTTTTGCTTGCTTTGTACTGAGATAAGTTACAGTTCTCGATTTTCCATGTTTAAACAATATTTAGATTTTAATAAGAGGTAAATTACTTCAATGGGACTTTAAAATGAATAAATTTTTTAAGGATAAAATATAATTTCTGTGAGAATAACGTAACAAAACCGTATGAGTCTTTTGATATGATGATACGCATACAGGAATACGCGTTTGGATTTATAAGAATTGAATTTTCTTGTAATATGCATTGCACAACTTTTCTAGATACAATAATATGCAATTTTAAAAGAATAAATTATTTGGAAAAACTCATATCACTGTTGACATTCTATGTGTAATCATTAGTTAGTTTAAAACTTATATCTATTACTTTATGGCATATAAGGGATGTATAAATTTGTTTATATGAGTTAAGAAATATTTCAATACATATAAAATCTCAAGCTTTTATGTAGTATACGTCCTTGAAAACAATTACGTATAATTTAAAAGCTTCTTACATCAGCATATTCTAACGAAATCCAAAAGTTGCCTTTTATATGTGAGTCTCTAAATCATATAATTCTAAACAATATATACCGTAAAATCTGGGGTATAACTACTTTTAACACAAAAAAATAAGATCTAAATTTACGGAAGAGCGTTTTTTGCCGGGTATAAAAGTGAGACCTTTAAAAATAAAAAAAGATAATAGAAAATAAATTAGACTTCTGCGTAAATCTGTTCACTTAAAAGAAACGACATTCCTTATGAACTTAAAGGGCTGTACTAGAAATGTACTATTTTTTTCTAAAGCTTGGAATAATATCTCAAATAAATGAGAGAAACAACAGCGTTGCATACGTGCATATCAGATTCCTACGTAAAAAAACGTGGTGCGCGTTATGCGGAGAATATACATAAAAATTAAAAAATGCAGCTTCAAAGTACGGGTGCGTATTATTCGCAGGATTTTACGGTAATTAGTTTTTTTATTACTAAGAGACTAATACTCGTGCATGACCTTTGATTATCAACTGATGCAGGCTTTTTTGTGTTATTTTAAGAGAAAACACAAAAAATTAATTATAGGACAAGAATAACCTACACTATAAAAACTGAAACAACGCATTATAAGATGATTGATTGGATTAAAGAAGTTTCGAGTTAGTGTTTATTAACGTTACACAGTAAAATAGCATGATGACTGTTGGAGACGGTTCTTGGTCAAATGAAGAGGACAGCAACTGAACTGCCATCACCCCTCTCCGAAATTCCACATCATGCAAACGAGGGGATTTTGAGCCTTAACAGATTTAACCTGCATCAGACCTTTTACATGACGGATCTTTAATGGTACCAGGAAACCTTAACTCAACAGAATTATTCTTCTACATATCGTGCGAAGTGAATATTGCAATAGTGAAATTTATTGTTTATCTCACTAAACGTTATTTTTCTAGTGAAAATTATTTCCATAAATATTTACATACAAACAGTGAAGGCTTCTGGAAGAAGAGGTGTTACGATAAAATATGAGCTGCCACTTCTGTCGCAACTTCCACACAACGTCAAATGGATGACACAGATTTAACGTTCATCAGCGCCTCTACACAGAGAATCTTCAGTGGTACTAGGCTCGAACTCAGAACACCCTAGCCACCATAACCACTAGGCTACCGCAGCCACTTTAATGAGGTTCAAAATTAAAGTGCAAGATTAACTTATCATTGAGGGAAAATGAGGGAATAAAAGGTCGACCACACACGCATTCTTTCTAAATCACTCTGATATTATTCTCTTTTTGTCTGATGGCATAATTACATCGAAGAGATTGCGAAAATATATCTGTTCCATCTGTCTAATCAGCTTTATACAGCTAGAATTATTGACCATTAGGAATTGCAAATCTCTGGATACTATTTCAGATTTAGTGAATTTATCAAAGTCAGCGATTCGCGAAGATTTCGGCATTGTTCATTCATCCCACATTTTGTTTTAACTTGCTAAGAGATAAGTGATAAATTCAAAAGGGTGGTTAAGAGATGGTTTTCAGATCAAAAGTGTTAAAGAAAAATTTTAAAACTTAAGATAAATATTACTCACTTAAACATAACTAGGATTTACAACCACAGCTAAACAGAGTTACAAATTATATTTATAGCTCTTTTCACAATTATTAAAAATCTTCAAGCATTTCATATGGAACGTTGCACAAAAAAAAAGAGAAAAAGCTTGTGAAAACTTTAATGGAATTCAGACTTTTTAACTCGTCAAAAGTTTATCAAATCTAAAAAAAATGAAATAATTATTATTGAATCTTTATTTAAATAATTTGTTAGTTTGAAACTTAACCCATTTTAAATGAAATTGAAATTTATGTATTTCCAAAACATTTTTAAAAATGTGAAATATCAGAAGATTTTGAACAAGTATATGATGTTTCGGGATTTGTAGATTTTATAAATTTCTTTTTTTCTTTTTTGAATATCTGAAGTTAGAATTGAAGGAATGCATGAGATGTTAGAACATTAAAAATGTCGCCTCGATCCTACGAATGATTTAGAATTTAGAAACTGCTAAAGCAATAGTAAATGTTGAATATTTTTTCCTGAAAAAAAATTATGAATGGTAGTTTATAACTCCCCAGTTTATAATAACAATCGTTCATAAAATATAGAAATTTGAAACTGAGAACTTTGAATTTTTCTAAAGTTTCCCATTCAAATTTTTATAACTTTTTTAGCGTTTTGTTACTTATTTTGGGAGATTCTCTTAACTATTTTATTGTCTTTTAAATACTTCATTTTGCATTTGATTTCTTTTTTGCTATAAATTCCATTTCTTCCAATGAACCCACGCTTACTTCTCTAAATAATCTAACCAAATATATTAAGTGAAGAAATGAAATGCGTTTACCACTTTAGCATTTAAATTTTTCATGTGTTCTATTCGAAAGAAACGAATAATATTGATTATTTAGCGATTTTACAAGAAAGGATGGTCTGTTGCAGTCACATTGCAGCTTTAAGCAGTTTTAAAAGGAAAATACTATCTATTAATCATTCAATTGCGGCTAACATCAATTAAACTATGAAAACATTATATTTATCTTAGGTAAATTTGCTTCATTTAACAGTTTAAAAGTTTAATCATTTAGTTAAATAATCGAGAACAATCGTTTAGTTAAATAAAAATAACTGCATTAATTGTTCTTTCTAACAAAAAGCTACCTTACTATAAGCCCAGAAAACTACAACAGTTGAAAGAATGTAATTCAAATCACATAATTTATCTTTTTTCTAATTATATAAAGCAGCGTTTTTCAAACTGTGGGCTACGCCCCTCTAGGAGAGGCGTAATAATACCACCAGGTGGGCACGAGCATATCGAAAAGTCAAAAATAAAAGATTTTTAAAAAAAGTGTGTGTGTACTTATGTACACACGTAAGAAGTATACTTCTTTGGCGTAACAAGATTAAAATCTTCCTAAGAATCTTTAGCAGGGCAAGCTGAGCCAAGGACGATAGGTCGTCTCGAGCAGAGTTGAACGTTACTAACCTTCAATCAATCGGACCAGCCAAACCTGAGATAATCACGATTTAAATAAATTTAAACACCCCCGCACAGGGACAATAGGACCAATAATAGGGGGAGGGGGTCGAAGGCGGGAATGATCTATCCCGTTCTGCATATTTCTAAACAAAGCATTTCTGAACGTTCCTACGGAAGCAAGAGCAAAGGTTCGTAAGGCGGGGTATAGCTCAGTGGTAGAGCATTCGACTGCAGATCGAGAGGTCCCGGTTCAAACCCGGATGCTCCCTTCTTCAGGGAAGTGAAGAGAAGTATTTTTTGAGAAATTCGAAGGCGGGGATGATCTGTCCCATTCTGCATATTTCTAATCAAAGCATTTTCGTATAAATTCCTACGGAACGTAAAGCAAAGGCTTTCTGACACGGGGTGTATACCTCAGTGGTAGAGCATTCGACTGCAGATCGGGAGGACCGCAGTTCAAACCGTGGTGCCCCTATTTTCAGGGAAGTGAAGAGAAGTAATTTTTTTGAGAATTTCGAAGGCGGCAATGATCTTTCCCGTTCTGTATATCTTCTAGACAAAGCATTTTCGTATACGTTCGTACGGAACACAAAGCAAGGGTTCGCTGACGCGGGTGTATAGCTCAGTGTTAGAGCATTCGACTGCAGATCCGAGAGGTCTCCGGTTCAAATCCGGGTGTCCCCTTCTTCAGGGAAGTAAAGAGAAATATTTTTCTGAGAATTTCGAAGGCGGGAATGATTTGTCTCGTTCTGTATATTTCTAGACAAAGGATTTCCGCATCCGTGACGGTGTGCGTCACAATCGTGACGGGGTGCGCGCGCATTGTAAAAATGTACTCTCATCCTATTTCTCTAACGCGCCAAAAGAAGTATAACTTCAAAAAATTTTAATTTACTGAAAGATTTAATTTACTTATAAAAAAATACATATTTTATAAACTGATATAATATAATTGTATATCACAGTACTGCACAATGTATTTGATCATTATTTCATCAATACTAAGTTAAGAACAAGTTTAATAAGTACTTGTGACCCCAGCTTGCAAAACTTAATCTTGCTTAAACTTATCTTCGATAATTTGTAAAGTTCACAATTAAAGTCATATTTTAGCTTTAGAGTAAAAGTACATTATAATTGAATTCAATACATTGTTATTGTATGGAGGGGGGCGTCATGAAAATTATGATTGAAAATTGGATCGCAAACATTGAAAGTTTGAGAAGCATTGATATAAAGCACTGATTTTCTTAAAGTAAATATAATTAGGAGTTATTGTTTATTATTAGCAATAAAATTGAATTCTAAAAAATAAAAATTATGCATTAGAAAAGAATTATAATCTAATTTTTAGTTGGATGAGTTTTATAATACAAAGGTTTTTCATTTTATGTTATAATTTTAATAATCGCTAACATCACAAAATTATTTTATTTAAGATTTTTCATTACTAAACTCAAATGAACGTTAATATTAAAAAATAGCTTTGTATTTCACATAAAAGCAGTGCATCTTGTTCCTGATAATATGCTTAATGCTAGTTAATAACTTTTATGCATAAGAATTTTAGCTCGTGTCTTGATTGCACAATTTGTTCAAAAGACATGCTAAAAGAAATAAATAGCTATTAGAAGGAAACATATCGAATTTAAGTTAGAAATAAAACAGCAGGAGATATTAAATATGTATAAAGTATATTCAAGAACGAGAAAAACAATATTCCACCCTTACATCCATTCATAATTTATTCATAACCAAAGAATCCGTGCCCTACTTACACGAGAAAAGAGACATAAATGATATCTTGAGAAAAAACATCCAAAGATTACTGTTTTATTCTTTCCCTAGAAATATAAGGATCAGTGCTTCGTTTCTCTTACAAGAATTTTATTTTTATAACATTTTGACAACCTATGACGCTTCCATTGGAGAAATAATGTCATTCCAATTTTACAATTTGTCTATCAAAACATTTCTTACACACGTAGAATATATCAGTGGCACAAAACATGCACAGTTGTTAAGAGAAACATTGGACTAGTTCTTGTTAATACATACAGAAATGATGAAAAAAAGTTATTCTAACATATCATCATCTTATCATTTTTATTCATTGTGAAGGTTTTCGTGTTCTGTTTGTATAGAAAACAAGGAATAAAATAATACACTGATCTTACTTTCAATTCCCCATTTGAATTGTTATTTCCTTTGAATTTCCTCAACAACAGCATTTTTCATTTACCTTATCTATTTCTCTCTTTTCTGCAGAAGAAAACCATTTGAGACATTTTTCTGAGCTCCTTAAAAATCTTGATTCCATTAAAATGCAAAACCCTCTCTTTCTTTTTTTTTATTATCTGAGCAATTAGCAATTATTAATAATATAAAACATATGAGAAAAGTTCTAACGTTCCCCATTAATACTTGTGATTCAAACAAATAAATTACTTTGACGAATTTAAAAGATAAATTTATTTTAATGTTTGTTCAATATATACTAAAAGATTTGCAGAAAAAAGTAGGTTAATTAAAAATTTTTAAGCTCATTTGCTTAATCAGATTTCCGTACAAAATATTATTCAATTAAACCATTTTTCATAAAGTGAGAAAAGATTTCAGCTTTGAGTTTGTTTTTTCTCGGAATCACTATTTTTTACGCTTTTAATTTAATTATGTATAATAGCATTGCTTTTATTAATTTTGTTCGGAATAAAAATATAGCCCTATGATTTTTACACACTTTCCATTAATCTCCAGTCAAACGATAAGTAAGAAGAATCATTCTTAATTTTGTAAAGAACGCTTATAATAAGGAGACAAATGTTAAAGTTTTCGTTGTTGTTTTACCTAACCTATATCACAAAAACCTATTTTTTATCTTCTCAATGATATGTAAGGAGAATATTGTTTTTCAAATATTTTACTGGATGTTATTAATGACATTATTCAATAAAAATAATTTAAATATTATTTTTAAGTTATTTCTAGCTGTAATTTTATCATTTTTTTTAAATTAAGAAATCAATCATGAAAGCTAATAGTAATGATATCATCGAGATTCAGTAAGTTTCACAGTCATAATTCCACATTTTTTAAATTAAATATTTTTATAAATAAAAAACTAATACAAAATATTTCTCGTTCCTTGAATTACTTTTCACCCTAAAATTTATTTTTTTTTTATTTTTCTGTGAAATCTAAGCCATTTTAAGTAATTCTAAAGAAATTATTTACACTTTAATGTGTTACAGGAGTATCCATAAAGTGAAAATTTCAACATTCAAGGGGAGTTGTGGGCTTGAACTTCTAAATTGTTTGTTTGCATGTGTTTACTAGCATTCGAAAGCTTGAGTTAAATTTAATTTAACCTTTGATGTATTATGTAACACCTTACCATAATTTAATGACTAACAATTACGATTTATCTAGCCTAATTACTATTTCATAATTATATACTCATTTATTACTGAATTGTGGTATGAATACTCATGTATATAACTCATCTGTACTCATCTATATCTATTCAACTGTATATTTTTATAAAAAACTTTAAATTTTCATCGTACCGTTTTCATTGCGAAACTAAGCAAATTTATATAAATTTTGAGAATTATTTTATTTTTTTATAGTTCAAGAAAAAAAATAGTGTTTACCTGTAAAATTTTAAAAATTGTATGATTTAAAGCAAATTATTTCCAAAAATATTTAAATATTTTTCCTCCTGTAATAATATTTAAGAAATAGATTTAAACAATTGTGCAATTCGGAAATTCGCAGTAAATTCATAAGTTATTGCATTCAATCAACATATCATTGCGTAATTCAAGACACGGTTACGCTTCTTTTAAAATTCAAAGTAACCAGATCTTGCAACCAAAGCATATTTTTTGTTTCTTAGTTTTATTTTTCATTCAAAAATCAGGAACCTGACATTCAAAAACATCCCACAGCCTTGTCATGTTTCTTTTATGTTCAATTAACCTGGCATTTTCCAGAAACGATGTAATATCAAGCGTCACTAAATTCCGAAAAAAGTAGTAATCCAATCCGAAAATAGCCCGATTTCTCAATAAATGTCAGCAGCAGTTGAATATTTAATGAGCCTGTAATTATACTTCTCATATTATCAGTACTTTTTTTATGTAAATTATCTTTCACCTTATTTTTAAATATAAAATTTACTTAAATATCGACTAGTTCGGGAAACCCTGATTTAAAGCGATAAATGGATAATTTTCATGATATTGTTCTTAGATTAGAATATATGTATAAAATTGTTTTAAGGAATTTGGAAAAAATTTATTAAATAAATATTTGGAAATTAAATTAAAAACCTTTTTTCAAAATTACCTTTTGTAAGCTTTATTATAATAATATTTTGCCTGTATATAGCTCAGACCTCTCTATAGAGGCTCAACTATGATTTTTAAAAAAATCTCATTATTTTCAGAGTTACAACCATTTGAAATAATTATCGGCGTTTTTTTTTTAAAATTTCTCCCCTCTGTTGTGTGTCGTAAAACATGGATAAACCCACTTCTAAGTTATATATTTCAAAAATTCTAGTTGAGCCTCTGTAAAGAGGTCTGAGCTATACACAGGCAAAACATTATTATAATAGACGCACTTTTCACAAAAGAAGAACATCTTGAAAAAAGGTTATTCTAAGTTAATTTTTTGCCGAAATATTGTAATTAAAAAATTTTTTTTATCACTATGCCCTTTAAACCTTTTATCTTTTTCTAAACTAAAAGGCAAAGTATCATGAAAATTATCCATTTATCACTTTTTAAAACCTTGAACAGTCGGGTCCCTTAAAGTCAGTAGAGTTACGAGAAACTTATTGAATTAAAAAAAGATGAAAAAAATGTTGTTCCATCTAATTATGTCGAAATCAATATGTCATTTAATAAATAATTAATTTTAAAATTCTGAAAGAATAATAAATCAACCCCTTTGTTGATTTTTCACATGAATAGAAAATAGTTTTAGAAATCATTCAGGATGAGTTTTTCATTCCTGACACCTCTACAACATTTAAATATTTTTCTGTTAAATATATCACCAAAATTTCTTCTTATAAATTAAATAATTTCCTTATAATTCTCAATGAAAAAACTTAGAAAGGGAAATTTTCTATCCATTTCTTTGCAACAGCTGACAATTTGTGTCAAATATCAGTTTTTTATTTCAACATAGAATAAATATTGGTGCGATATTTTATGTTTTATACGTCTGATACTACCCTTATGTAATATATATGTTTCAACTATCACTATAGTTATTTATCATTGTATATATTCATTCTTTACCCAGAAAAATTTTTTAGAGGTCCGTAAAAAAATTTTAAAACGGTAAAATTTTTTTTTAAATTTTTAAATGAAATGTTTCGATTTTTCCACATTTTTTTAAAAAAAAGGATCTTCAGAAAAGTAAAAAAATGTTAAAATAAAAAAAATTTAAAAATCATAAGTTTTTATAAAAATTTATAATAAATATTGGGTATTTTTGGGTTCGCACGCTATTTTCTAAAATAATAATCTGATGTAGAAAATTTTTGAAAAATTATAAAATACATCATCCCTTTTTAAAAACACTACCTAATTTTAGTATTATGTATTTTTTTTGTATTTAAAAAATTTTTTTTAAAATATTGCAATTTTTAAATTTTTTTTAAAAAATGT